GAGGACTATGGACTACAACAGTAAGAATTGGGTAAGAAAAAGGAGGAAAAGAAAAAACAGAAAGAAAATGGAAATGCAAATGAAAAAGGGAGTTGACCTTTCACATGCCTCATTAAAATCTGTACGCTTACTTCATTTTGTGAATTTAATGGTTGATTTCAGTTTTAAAACTGCATTTTCAAGTTTATTTTGAAATTCCATTATTATAAATGTATTTACTGATTGTTTCAATGTTGTTTTTTATAAACTCCTTTTTAATTTTACATATTTATTGAGAGATTAATATATTTATTTATATATTCACTTAATAAATCTTCTTTTTATTTACCATTTAAATACCAGTTACTGAAATGCTTAGTGATGTACTCTCTTTGTTAATTAATGCACTTGTAAAATCTTTGATTAACTCCTGTCAACTGTTTTTAATGTCCAATTAAATACTTGTGGTCCACAATAATTGGCCAAATTTTATAACTACTGAAGCTGTTCTAAATTATGTTTTGATTAAAAAGTATTAATAAAGAATATTAAATTAAGATGACATGACAACACCATTTATCAGTGTATTTGTTACAAGTCTATCTCTTCCTTTCTAATTCCTTATGAAGCATCCAAGACATATACACAAGTAATGAATGCTTCAAAACATAACATAGTTGTAACATAGTGTTAAACTATATATGTATATGTATATATATATATATATATATATATGTTTTTTTGTTTATAAACAGTTTAATGCTTTATACTTTTATACATAAATACTTTATAACAATGTTATTGTGTGTAATCACATATCATTATACTATTGTAGCTAAGTTATACAGTATTGTCAAACATCCATTAATTGTTGATGCATCAGTTATGAAGGCATCATGTGAGAAGTTATAAATACATTATAATAAACACTTTAAAAGAAAAGCCCTTATACTTACGATGGCATATAAAACACTGGGTGTGTACTTATTGCTTTTAAAGACTAAATACTTATTATGTGGGCGTAAAATACTTTGGCAACTCATGTAAATTAGTTGCCAGTTGTTTTGATAAAGAATAAATCAACTTGTTTGTCGGTTGGTTTGTTTGTTTGTTGGTTGGTTGGTTTGTTTGTTTGTTGTCTGTTGTGTATCTGTGAGGATTGGCTTGGACATACACCATCTCAAGCCTGGCATATATCCACCATGTGTATATTTAACTTCCCTCTCTGAGACCAAGCCTCCACCTTCTGTCTAAAATGCAGATTGGTTGTGCTTCTAAAATTGGATTAAGGCTAGTAAGCAGCGAGGGGATATCAGTGGCCAGCATTTTTCAAAACTGTTGCTAAGACATCAGTATTAAGCAGATCCCCTTTCCATGCCTGGCATAGCTAGCTTTAGCTTAGCATCACTTCATCTGTTATATTTACACAAACAAATCTCCATTTTAAAACCATAAACCTATCACTCAGCCGTCTAAAGTAAGCTATTATCTGTCTTATTATTTAAACACGCGCCACTTTCTTTTTTTGTCTCATGCTAATGCTCGCACATGCCGTGTTTCTGCAGGAAAGCACATTGATGACTTAAAAAAGATAAACAGAATTCACTTATAGGCCATTTAAGCACAAGACTTTTCATGCCCTGTTTATTGCGTGAGATGTGAATTATGATGAAGATTTTATCATAGTGGTCTGTAGGATGAGTCATTATAGTTCAGACAGGCAAGGCCTCAACGCAGTGCATTAGCCTCAAGCTATTGAAAGTAAATGGTTGTCACATCCACTTATCTGTCTGTTATGCCATTTGAGGCCTTCATTGTGTGGAGTAAGAGCAATACACTAACATTGTTTTGTAGAGACAAGCAAGAACATCTCATAAAGGGCTGTTCAGATGATTTGGAGGATATTTCTCATTCAGTGCTTGTCACTGGGTTGTGAGCAATCCACTTTGTCTTAATGGCTGCAGAGGTTGGTGGCTTTGAATCATCATTGTATTGCATGGTGTACTGTTAATGACTGGATCAGAATAATATTGTTTCACTGACTCAGAGTGCATTGTATTACTACTTTCATGACAGTTATTTTCCAACACATTTTGATACAATAAATAAAAGTCTGTCCCCATTTTCTCTATGACACATTTGTTTGAAAAACAGCTCTGCTACCTATTTATCTATTTATCCAAGAAACACCTAATTAAAAAACTCCACCTCTGTGTTGGGGAGGTTCTTTTTTCCTAAGTTGACTTCCAATAAGATTACTGAAGAATTAAATTATTTAACAATTTGCCCGACATTATCTCCATCTGAGAATCACACATGGCAGATGTGCATGCTGCTCAAACTATCACCAAATGATGTATTCATTGTTGTTCTTGTGTTAGCGATGAGAGCCGATATGCTTCAGCATGTCTGTCTGTGAACCCTCTCAGTCATCCAGATCATAGTTAGCCAAGAAAAGTTGAATCGAGGGCAACTGGCTTCAGCGTGTCTGGCCTTGAAATCACACAACAAAGCCAGAGTCTAAAATCTTTTTCTTTACACATTATGACACATTATAGCTATCACTAATTTTCTTGCTGAGGTGGCAACATGAACCTAATTCCAAATGCAAACAAAGCTCCTGATTAAAATTCATATATTATTCTGTTTTTGTATTTTAACATACATTTATAAATTATATAACATACAATTATTTTACCTGAGCCAAAGTTGTTTGTGGCATGTCATGGGTCACTGATGCTACTCTCCAGCAGTGGCTCATGAGATTAGGACCAACATAAGAATTGCAGGGCGCTATGACTTGCTGCAGGCAAAAGGGACAGTACCCTCAAATTCATTGTGACAAGCCTTACCCTCTTTTCAGAGAAGAAATGCCCAAAGACATTCCTCCCCCATCTTTCCCTATCATGACTAAAATTCTGACCTGGTTTCATTCAGGGCTCCTCCAACAAAGCCATTGTACTGTTCACAAATGATCCTATGTGTTGACATTTGACCGACTCTGCGGTATTGAAACTGGTGGTATAAAGAGATGGAAAATGTGGCATGCTTGTCAAGTTACTGTGAGGGCTAGTCTGCTTAACGTACCATACCGTACCCACCTTTACATAACTTTTAATCCTTAAAGATGAGCAAAAAAGGGGTGGGGGGGGGGGGGGGGGGGGGTGTTTAAGTCATTTATTAACCAAGTGAACATGAATGTATCTGCACATTTGCTGTCTTATAAGAATGTAAACCATGCTGAATGTGGCACATTTGAATGTCTAAGATGTCAAACAAACAAACGAATTACACTTACAAGCATAAAGATGGACAAGTGCTTTTTTTTTAGCAAGTTAACTGCATCCCACCTTTTCCAGAATGGCCTGCGTGTGTGTAAAAAAATGTAATCTGAGAAATTATACAGTCGATGTGTTAAAAGGATAGATGATATCACTTGGCATGACAAGAGTGTTTGCATATATTGTGTGTGCATGTGTGTGTTAAGGAAGCCCTGTTCTAAGGGCCCACAGCAGCCTCCCCAAAATAGAGCTGAGAGCAGCTGCAGCAGGGTGGGTCGTATCAGAGAGACATCAAAGCGTCCGCCGCCACCCGCCCGCTCTGATCATGAGCACTAATGGTGTAATGGGGGACTGGAAGGTCAGTGATTGTTTTTGGTTGTGTGTGTGTGTGAGTGTGTGTAAGTGTGTATGTGTGAGAGTCAACAGGCAACAGAGGCAGTCAATGCACAGGAGGCTAGAACTTTCCAGAACACAAACTGACAGCATTGCTAAACCTGGTATTACTGTAAGACAAATACCAGGTCAGGTGTCACCTCTGCAGAAGTCATCGCTGACATCTGAGGTAACGGTGAGCACAGCCACTTCAACAAAACGGAACAGTCTGGGGAAATGGTCTCTCTGTACCTCCTGTGAGTCACTTGGGTACTTAACATCTGTGTGTAAATGGACAGTGTAAAGAAGAAAAAAATAAAGAAATAAATAAATATCCTTACCATCATGAAGAGTATTACACTGCACCTCTGGGTCAAACAGCAGAATTTACAGGCACGCTCAGTAATCTGCTCTTAGTGTCACAGCTCAGATAACTGCGTCCATATGGTGGCCTCAGATTTCAACAGTCATCACTTTTCCTACATGAAAGAACTCCAGGCAGGATCAGGGCAAAGTCACACTCTGAACCTGACCGTGACTACAGTGTGGCTGTTTCTCAACTGTCTCTGGTCTATGACAGACACCTCTTTACCTGATAGAAGAGAATTTATGAGGCCTAATAGTTCATTGTTCATACAAAGAACAAACTTAATTATTGTTTATAAGATGTTGGTCTTGTAGATGGCCCTATAACACTGATCACACAGGTGAATACTCATATAATTGTCCTTCCCTACTTTTGAAATAAAAAATAATGAACAAATGCTGAATTGATTGATTTTTACTGACTGGAATTTGGAAAATGTAAGATGGTATAGAGTACATGACTTCTCTGTCTCTCATTCTTGAATCCAGATTTATGGGTCTGCAAAATGTCTCTGTCATGTCCAATCAGCACCTGCTTTCGCTCATCACAGCCAGTGGAGACAGTCAGGGAGGTTAACCCGAAACACAGGCGCCCTCTACAGGGTTAACAGGATAATATTAATCTCTAGAAATGGCCTGTAAACGGGTGTAAATTTGACAAGTCATCTCAGCTCTTTATTGAAATTAAAAATGATACTTGTTTTATAGTGACACATATGTTGTTGTGCCTTATTATATCGTGGCACTTATTTTAGACAGCGGAGGGGTAAATGTTTATTATCCTACTTTGCCCAATATTTTTTCACTTCCGGATTTTGTGATTACAACAGATATCATTTTATAAAAACGTTTTGTGTCTCTGGAAAATTGAAGAGGGACATTTGCCTGAACATCAAACTAGATTTTCATTTTCAAACAAAGATTGTTTTTGCAAATACCAGGATTTATAGTAGTATAGTGGAAAGGGACCGTTTCTCTTTGCACCTCAAATTCTACGGAAGAAATAAATCGCGGACGTGTGTTCAACAAACTGGTTCCGGGTATCAACAGTGTGGTGGCTAACGTTAGCTGTAACGTAATCTCCACTCCACATTCGTCTACAGAGTGGTAAGAAACACTGTTATGTTTCCACTACATGCTGTTTTGTGTTGGCGTGTCTAGGATTGTTTGTCTGATATGAGCTCTAAACACTGAACAACCGACAAAAGAATTTGTATCGTTTGTTTAGCATGGTGTTAGCTCGCTAGCCAACGTAAGCTAACGTTAATGGCTGCGAATTCACTTATAAAAACAGTTTGGACAGTGAAAGAAATGACGACAACCGTTGTTTGATTTAAGTTGCATTAGAGCAGAGATTTCACAGTTGTAGTTATTAGGATTTATTTCAACGACAGCTACCTTGTGGTATATCTCTGTAAGATACTTATTTGACTCAATGTTTCACGGAGGCTGTCAAAAAATTCACTAGAAAATTTAAGGCCCTAACTGTAATTTTAACATAGGTGTGACTGCTTTATGCTTCAGCCAGTGTCCAGCCTTGACTGCCTTATATTGTTTATGAGATGTTTGGTAATTTTTCTATGTTCCTTTGCAGGGTTAACCGAAAATCCAGAACAGGATGGGTGAGTTATTACCTGGCCTATATATTATCCTCTAGCTCCTCAGAAATTCACAGTGTTGTTTGCCAATTCATAAAATGTTTGTTCACATCAGAGTAGATGTGTGCACCAATTCACACAGGTCTCATTTGTTAACTGGTTCTTCAATAAGACCATTCTCCAAAGTCACTACCGTTGTGACAGTTGGTCTAATATGTATGTGTTACTGACACATTTGGCTCACACCTGTTTGAGATTGTCAGTTTATGTTGTTTCACAGATGGTGAAGAAAGAACCTACGGTGGCTGTGAAGGGCCGGATGCCATGTACGTGAAGTTGATCTCTTCAGATGGCCATGAATTTATTGTGAAAAGGGAACATGCCTTGACATCTGGGACTATCAAAGCCATGTTGAGTGGGCCAGGTGAGGAATCGGACAAATTAAATATGAATATAATAAAGTTTTTCCCCCTAATTTCAAAATTGCACACCTCTGCAAATGGTGTGTAAAGGTTCTTCAAGTGTTTAACCGGATTAATTTTGTTTCTAATGGCAATCCATTAGGAATCTATCGTGTCAGAATTAAAAAAAATAGTAATCCCCAGCAAATTTACCAGCTTTCAGCACATCCAGTCATCCTCTGGTACATCCAGTGCAACAACATTGTGCCACTTTTTTGGCAGCTGTCAGAAATAAGCGGGGGATTAGCTCATGGTGTCTTCTATCCAGACTGCTTAATTGCTCCCAATCATTACACAGTTTAAATGAATTTTTTGGACACACACACACACACACACACATAGAGTGTATGTGTATACTACAAGGCATCCCTAAATAATAATAATAAGGTTCAATATGCCTGAAATTAGAGACTTTTTTCATTGAACTTTTAACCTGACATTAAAGTGCATACTTTCCCAGCATAATGTAAATTGTCATTGATAATTCTGAGGAAAAGCAGATTTGTAGGTTTGCTCTTCCAAGAGCCTGGATTTACAACTTTGACTTGGAGGAACTGGAAAAGAGTGCTTTTTTTTTTTTGCTTTTTTTATCGTCTGTACTGCTTAGATAGATGTGACTTTACTGTAAACTGTATTCAACACTGAATATCTGTAGAAATTACAGTACACCACGAACCAGAATGAAATTCAGTTGACCTCTGGTAATACTTAGTACCTCATCTCCCCATGTTATACATGTTATCTATGGGAAGGGTTTTATTTTGATGAAAACATTTAACTCATTTGTCAGCCTTGTTTATAGAAAAATACAAATCACATTCTGGGATCCCAATATAACTGCGCAACCCAATGTTCTTTATGTTCACAGTACCTACACTATTGGTCTGCATCCTATTAGACTATGTGTAAGGTTGTATCGAAAAATTAATATAATTTTGATGCTTTGCTTAATTACGTCTTACTTCTACTACTTAAAGATTATAATTAAGGGATTGGTGTTTTTGGCTGCCCAGTTGGTGGCACTATGTGCCCTCCATACAATGTTTTTGTTACCTCCTATTAAACATGGATTATAGAACTTTTTCTAATCCCTCATTAATACCTACCATGGTCTTATTTCTTGTACATTAGTGGGTAGCATCTTGCAGAAATATTCTGCTACTAAGGACAGGATTTTTAAAGGTGTATTTCACAAATTGCATGTCTGTGTTTCATTATTTCTACTCATGACACATAATGTAACCCTCTATCTACAGGTCAGTTTGCTGAGAATGAAACCAATGAAGTGAACTTCAGGGAGATTCCATCTCATGTCTTGTCCAAGGTCTGCATGTATTTCACCTACAAGGTCCGTTACACCAACAGCTCCACAGAAATACCTGAATTCCCCATCGCTCCGGAGATCGCACTGGAACTGCTCATGGCTGCAAACTTTTTGGATTGCTAAAGTTACCCGATAATGTAGAAGCTTCAAACATTTTTAGATATTTTTTTGCATATTTAACTTCTTTTGTCATGTAAACCATATGAAACATGAATAAGTGCATCACCACAAAGAGTTTTTTTCTCCTTTTTTTGCACCTGGCTTTCTGTCCTAATTTTATTAGTATTAAAGGATTTCATTTTAATGTAAGAAATGGATATGGCAGACTGCATCCCTTTCCTAAGAATGTGATGAATGTGCCCCCTGCCCTTGAAATCTTTCTTCACCTCTCCATCTTAATAAAGACCTGTTTGGTGAGCACTTTGTTGACTGTTGCTACCTTGTTCCATATGAAGTACATCTGAATTTAAATACTACTTTCCCTGCATCATTCTTTATTTGTGTATTTTGGTTTAGCTCAAGTAAAACATTACAAACTGTTTGACAGACCACACAAACAGTTTAACATTAGACAATAATTCATAGATATAAAATATAGTTAGTACACTGACTCCGGCAACATGTAAGTAGGCTACTTTGGGCTGATGACAACATTGCATGTTGTAGAAGAAATTATGAACACTATAGGATGATATGGTGTGTGGTTTTCTGATTTGCAAGAGAAAGTGGAAGTACTGCACCTAAACTAGGCAAAATATCAAGTACAAGCTGATGAACATGATCTCATAATTCTAAATAAATGCAGTTGCTTTGAACATGCAAACAGAATATGGCCTTAAGCACGTATCAGCAAATGTGAAGAGCTGGTTTTGATCCGTTATCTGGCTATTGTGTCAGCCATATCAGGTGGGAGCTCATATCGCATCTCCATTAACAGTGGCTACAGAGGGAAAGGATTATTTTTTTCTTGAAATCTTAGGAGGCTTTGTCAAATGACTGTTCAGTTGAATAGAATGTAAACTTTGCAGATAAAGCTAAATGAATATGCCACCCCTGCTTTTTACAGTTTGGTTTTAATGCGCAAAGGGAATGAAAAGGTATCAGATTTTAAACGTGATACCTTTATGGTTTGTTGCTTTATTGGAGATTACATCTAGGACCTTAGTAATGTTTTGTTTTGTTTTTTTAAACTGAGCTATAAAAGACAGATTGAACTAAGAAAATTTACCACACAAATGTCATAAAAGATGTGATGAAAGGCATTATGGATTTATAATGTCATTTAAACTCAGCATCAAACACTGTGTATTTAATATTGCTAATCAATATGTGATAATATTTTAATAACTAAAATACGAAAATGAAAAAGTAACTATTTGATAGGACTCTGGAGGGATGGTGGGCAGGTCATCTCTCCTTGAGCAGAGGTCACTGACCCTCTTTAATGTCCTATGTAATCTCAGTGGCCTTTTATTCTGTTTCTAATTTGAAATTCTGTTGTAGAAATGGTAAATGGTTCGTTAACGACTTCAAATGACCGAGGTGTGACCGGGGTTCAAGCTCTGATGAGGCATGTCAGTGGATTGTTTTCGTCTGTCAAAAAAACAACTTCTCCTCTCACGTGACTCCGTGACGTACAGTCCTCCACTCTGCGCTGATGCAGGGGGGGTTCCATCATGGCGTCGATGCAGGTAAGACTACAGTTGACAGCGATCGCATATTTATAATTTACCTGACCTTCACTACAGTCTTTCCCGGTGTTTTATTGACCACTTAATTTGCGTATATGTATTTGTTCGAAGTAGTGATGACATTAAAGTGAAAGCGATGACATTTGTCCTAAACTGTTCAGGTTTAGCGCTTGGTCTTTGCTAGCAACACAACTAGCCCATCATCCTCAACAGCACCAAGTCAAGGCTAGCATAGAAACCAGCTTCCTGGAGACATATGTTGAATTTTATATTCTTATATTTTGTATATATTCTCTACGCAGCAACTCAGGGGGGGATAACTCAAGAAATGTTATGTTACGAGTTGAAATTCGTTCTATTTTTCAACGGTTTTGTGGCTGTTATTTGGCTGACGTTATCGTTAGCTTGCTAACGAGACAGTGCGCAGATTGAGCAGTTGCAGTCTCTTGAGCTGAACAGGTGCATCGGTTTCATGAGAAAGCTGTGTCGAATCGAGTGAGATTTGTCTTATCTGAAAACCCATAATGCTATCTTTATGACTGATGAACTGGGTTCGTCTTTTATGCCACAACCTTATCGTTTCATCTGTCACTAGTCGTTTTGTTTTGTATACGAGTTAAAACAGTCAGGGTGGAGTTTTCCTTTAAATACATTAACACGTTACAGGACGCTAGCTATAATCGCGCCGCCATTAAATGTTATACACAAACATAATTTATATTTTGTGGAGGTTTGTTTATAAATAAAATGACTGGACGTGAGGGCTAAATGTTGACTTTGCTAATGTGATTGGCTTCTGCTGTTTGTTTATGATGGTTCATATATTACCGTGATGCTATACTACAACATTTTTTGAGTGTGGCAGAAACCCAAACACATTCTCTCCAACAGAAAAGGCTACAAAAGGAATTATTAGCCCTGCAAAATGATCCACCCCCTGGAATGACGCTCAACGAAAAAAGTGTACAGAACACCATTACACAGTAAGTGTTTTTGTTTTTTTATTCCATGCTATTCATGTGTTCCAGCTTGACAGCATTTCTAACACAGTAAACATGAGGGCACTGTCACCTACACCTACAGTAGTCATTGGAGCAGGTTTGCATCTATGAATAAACACAAATCCCATGTGCCTGTGTAATGACCTGTTTCATCACTGTGAGAGCACAGTGTGGTGAGCATAAGGGTAACTGTTACAGTGGTAGGAGGTATTAAGACACAAAGCTCTCATAGCTTCAGCAGCTACTGGTGAGGAGGAATCGGGGTCATTCCAGTGACTGGCAGCTCTGCCCCCTCAGTAGAGTGTCTCTAATGCACAATGTCACTATTCATCCTTATAAAATATTTAATGGTTGGCATGCAGGAGTTGGTCTAGGGTAGCAAGGAGCAGAGGCTGCTTAGCTGACCTTCCTGTCTGGGTGTCTTGGTGTTCCCTTAAATGCCTGTGAATACTGTTGCAGTGTGAATCAAATTGTGTCTGATAAGCAGTAAGGATGAGGAGTTGTTGTCCTGTAAATGGATTCGAGACAAATTTCTGGCCGGCATTCAAATGTCTTTCAGCCGCAGGTTTGTAACTTTGACTTTGAAAGTTACTCCTTTGTTGTGTTGGTCAGAATGTCCTCTAGCATCATTGCAACCAGGCTCTTCTGATGTCCCTAAAGAGGCAATGCACGTTTCAATGCTTGTGGTTAGTTTAAGACAATCTTGTAACACTGACAGATCCATATGTTGGTATCTCTCTGATTAGGTGATAGTGACCTGGTCAGATTGAATGAATGTTATGTGTTTTGCGTAACTGACAAGTTTTCCAACCAGTTCTTCTGGCTTCCTCATCTCACGTCTGTGATGGTATGCATGGGTGTGCCTTTTTCTCTCAACTCGGTCACCTCAGCCAGGATTGGCTTTCTGTTAGGGCAGAATGATATGCAAAGAAAAATGGAGTTGGTATTATTTTGGCAGATATTGCGATTGTCTCAAGATTTCCTTTTTGAATGGTCATTTTTGCGTTTCATTTTCACTGAAAAACAATATGAAAATGATGGTGATGTGCTTTTTTCTGGGGCTTGTACCAAACAAAAATGATTTGTAGTCTCGGGCATCACTGTAGCACCACAGTGCTTCATTAATGGTGTTCTGTGACACATTTTATCTTTTAAAAAAAAAAATTGCAGCTCCTGTGACTTGGATAACGCACTTGTCCATATTGCGATTTCGATAATATTTCAATTAATTGTTCAGCCCGACTTTCTGTCATAGTGATTGATAACAAATCCCCACTGCTGTGCTTTTTTATCACACAAGTCCTGATGTAGTAAGATACAAATAGTCTGTTCCTGCTTGACATTCAAGCTGACCTTATCCAAACATGGAGAAAAAGCTCCCTGGTGACGAAGCTATGTGTGTGATGGATGATAAGGTGACCATGTGTTATAGCTTTTGTTTATGTAGTACACTCTGTCTCTCAGTGCTGTATCATTTGATTACAATGTCTTTTAGTTGACTGTGTATTTGTGTGTTTAGTACAGATGGCTCAGCTTCATGTTGGAATTAGTCAGCCATTGTAAACAAGGAAACTGCTGCTTTAAAGCACTATAAAGTCTTTCATATGTATATGTACACACACACACACACACATACTTTCACTAAATGGCTCAGTGTTATTTTTGTTGACTGGATCATATAATCACCAGCCTGTGGGGAATTTGAGCAAGTTGAGCATAATGTCCTTGGAGTCCTTGGAGTTTTTTCCTGTGTTCAGCGTGGGTTGCCTCAGGTGTAACTCAGCATCATGTACAGTGATATTGCCTCTTTACTTTCTTCAGAAAAATAGAGTTCTTTTCAGACACTTTGACCATTAGATTTTCTAAGGGTGAAGTTTTAAAGAGAACTGACCTTGCATGTAGGCCCGAATGATCATGTGCCTCAGGCTAGATTTGAAAGAGACACAAGGCTATAAACCCGAACAACAGCCACAAGTCTCTTTAGTATCCTATCTGCTTGCCTGGAAGAAATTAGGTCAGAGATTGTGATGCTGCCATCACCGTTCCTTTTTCTTCTCCTCTGAGGTTTCTGCTGTGAGCAGGCAATCCCCAGAAATGCTCTGCTCTGGACTTAAATTTTTTGGCTTGTTTGCCACTGAAGCTACATGTGGCCCCTGAGTTGTGGCCACATTGAGAAAGTAGAATGTCCTTCATCCCAAAACACAGAATCAAGCCCCTGTGTTTGCAATCATCTACCATTCTGAGCAAGACACTGAATCCCTTGCAGCTCAGTCAGCACAGTTCTGTAGCCAGGCTGCAGAAGCGAAAACAGATTTTGTCCCCTGGATCAATAGAATATCACATTATTACTAAACCACTGTTATAACCCAGTGGAATATTGAATGTCACTGGAATGAGTCAGGCTGAAAGCTTTTGATTACACACTTACTGCAGCATTGGCAGCTCATATTTTGTATGATTCTTTTTTAATGATAATGAGATGTGATCCATTCAAGTTGTTTTGCTCATGTTCCTAGCTAATCTACGTGATGAGATAGAAGATAGAGCATTATTAATCAATCATATTATGTTTTAATCATTCTTATTAATCTATTATCAGAATTTAATACAAAGTACAGCTGAGGCTGATAGGAATGTCATTAGTTTTGCAGGTCTTTGGTCATAAACCAAAGTATTGAACAGTGAACATGCTGTTGGCAATGGAGGAAAAGTCAGGCTATCACCAACATCAGC